TTTACTAATGGCCGGTAATAATTATTATTGATTTTCTGCAGCTCACTAGGCTGTCCTTTATACGCCACTAATCACACGACGACAAAATAAAACTAATAAAACCTTAACATTTTTTTAAAAATATTAATTATATTTAACACAAAATTATTAAATTAAAAATGTATAGTTAATAAATGATAAATATTTCTGGATATGAAAAATAATTTTAAAGCCATTTTTCGTCGTTAGCCATTTTTCATATTAGCTTTAAAGCATCTGAAAACAAAATGCCTGAATTATCGATTGATATTTCTATGTATTAACTTCGGTYTTCGGAATAATCCTTATTATATTTACTAATGAGTTGTATGAACTAGAAACTCGCATATTTCACTWTTCCATTTAAACAAAATAATTTATCGTCGTTTCAATTAATATTGTTTTCTTAATTCTTATGAATTCGTATAAACTAACTATTTAAGATTCTGAGTGGAACGATGGATGTATTGATTGTAGGTACAATTATGTGAGTTTTTAAATTTATTATYTGTGTCTGTGTACACGATAAGTAGTCGAAATAATGCTTTGATTTTACATTTCAGTATCTATTCCCGTGAGAAAATGAATCTAGATTGTGCATTCCAGAGGTTAAAATTTAAAGTTATCAGTAGTTTTCAATTTATATTATTGAATTAAAATTTAATACCRTCCATTAAAGTGACCCACTTGTATATACTTACTATACAGCAGAGCGACACCCACTTACCTGCTTTTTATTTATTTTTTTAGAGGGTGGGTGATATAAAAATGTATAGTGGGTAAACCYACTTTGAGTTTAAATTGCAACTATTGCTATAATACAAAACTAATATGAACTATATTTAAGTATAGAATAATCATTATGTTTGTGAACTGACAAAATTTCAAAAAAAAAAATSATTATGTTTTTACGGGRTGTTAAATTATTATTTCGATGATGTAATATTATTATGTATAATGTACTAAAACATGTATATTGTAACGAAAGTATTAAATAGGTGACAGAAATTCAAAATGTCTTGGGACTATCCGAAAGCAAAAACACAAGGACCGAATTTTTGTCGGGAGGACAGAAAAAGAGGTTATCTATCGCTCTGGAACTCATCAACAACCCGCCCATAATATTTCTTGACGAACCTACTAGGTACGTATTGATAATTTGCTATTTAAAAATATGTCGTAATGGATGTAATGTGTAGTGTGGTCAGGACAGTTTTTCTTTCTAAACTTATTGATGGTCATTAGTTTTTTGGCTTCATTATTCGTAGAGGCTGTACTTATAGGCTATAAGAAACATAACATACATTAACTTAAATGAATGTCTTCAAAGCATTATTATAGTTGCTACATAATCGAGCAATTTTATTTTACTGCTTACTATCRTTCTATGAGAAAACATGAAACTAATTAATATACTTACACTTACATGACCTTAAATATGTACTTTAATGTTACCTACAATATAATATTTAACCAGCGTTAATAGTAGCTGATTACATATAAAAAAGGTAAATATTTTGTCACTGTTTAACAAGAAACCATTAACTTAAATTAATTTATTTGTACCTTGGTACATTTTGACATCCACCAAATTAAATAATGTATATAGGTAATAGGTATGTGTTATTTTTTTACGAGAACGTTACTTGGTTATTCTGATTTATATAATTTGAGAACACTTTAATTTCTATTCCATAGGTACAAATCGCTAAGATTAATATCATAGCATTGGTTATTCCCCGATAACGTAATATTATTAAAAACATAAGCGAACACCGAACGCATTTAGTAAAAATAATATATCTGTAGGTTAAAATATATATGTCTAATCTAGTAATATGGTGTAATTGGTATTTACTTAACAGAACAGAAACACCGTATTTTTTTTTAACTAGGTACATAAATTTTTTTTACTAGGTGCTTAGGTATAAACCTACATAGAATTTGTACAAAAAAAAAACCCAAATAGAAGAATTTATAAGGTTTTTGCTTGGAAAAGCAATGCATTATTTAGTATTGTATTAATGAATATTTTAATGGTTTGGTGTAGACCCATACAATGATTAATAAAATAATTATTATTATACAGGTGTCACCTATGTACTTATATGTATCATTATTATTTAACAATTATTACTTATATGTTTGCACATTATAATTATTAAGTATGTTCCAATACATTTATATAGGTGTACCATAATTGTCAATACCATTTTTACATTAATGCCGTAAATTTACGCAATCGTTTAAATTTCTTCATTTGACTTCACGTGATAAAGTTTATTAGTCTCAAAATAAAATAYATTACTCTGTTACTCTGTCTAGTGAGTCGATATTTCTATTGGACACGGTATTTATTATGTTATGTATTAGACTAAGATATAGGAAATATTGGCAATAGACTGTTTGCAATAATACGTAGTGTATAATAATAACGTTATCAGTGCGTGTAATAACGTTATTACGAAGGTCCGTCTAAAACGGTATACCTACCTACATAATATTACTATGATTGGCTGTAACAAAATGTTATTGCGTACTTGCGTGTTATCTTTCCGTGACCATAGATGAACATAAATTAAGCAAAACATTGGCTCGGACTTCTTAAGCAAAAATTATGTATATTATACTAGGTATAGGTATGACGGAATCGGTTATGCATACGCATAGAGAACTTAAACTCTGTCTATGGTGAGTGGTGACTATATGGTGATGTCAGCCGGTTTTCAAAAATTAAGCATAGAAGATAAACAATGTTTATATAATTTGTTATTATGTAATTATATTTTGTTTCTTAAATAAGCAATTATTATTATTGGTAGAGGGATTGCCTCAATACCGCAGTGGCGTCCAAAAATATTTTCAATATACGGGATGAATTATATATATATATATATATAAACTATGTACATTTTAGTCATTTATATATATATATAAATGTATGGAAAAAAACCAGGAAGGATTGATCATTCAACGCTAGTAGCTTAGGTATACTGCGTATAAGAAAGTATTAATCAAACGTCAATTGACCCGCATAAAGTGTTATATCCAGGATTTTTTTCGAGGGGCTACAACTACAATATTTTATAGTTAAGGCTAGGATACTACCAATACTACCGGGTAAAGTAAGTTTGYTATTTCTTGGAGGAGGGGAGTCTTAAACCTTAAGCACTTCTTAATAAGGTTGCTTCATTAGATATAATGTTAATCTAAAAATAGTCCATGGTCTTTGCCCCCTTGAACTTTTAGGATATTATACTCGTATTGATAATTCATTATAGCTTTGAATTTATAGAGAACAGACTTATTATTTTTTTGGTTGGCGGGAGGTTTATATTGATGTCAAAATAAAATTGATTCCCCGTGATATAATAATTGCTTTAACTATAGTTTAAYATAATTGGCCTGATTAAACAGTGGTCTGCAACTAGAGATTTTGTGATCTTGTCCAAAAACYTATATAACTCTGCATCTGACCAACATCACACGTCACCCCTTAAAACCTGAGTGACACAAAAGTTGACGTGAAAATTTCGTGTTTTGTTTTCCCACGAATAGTGGCCTGGACAACGTTTCCAGCACGTACTGCCTGCAACTGTTACGTGGGCTCGCTCACCAAGGCCGCACCATTGTGTGCACCATCCATCAGCCAAGTGCCAGCATGTTTCAGCTGTTCGATCACGTGTACGTGCTGTCGCAAGGGTACTGCGTGTACCAGGGCTCCACTGACCAACTKGTGCCGTTCCTGTCTACCGTCGGACTACACTGCCCGCTGACGTACAACCCGGCCGACTACATAATCGAAGCGACCGACGGCGAGGAACAAGAGAACATCGAAAAGTTGGCCGCGGCCATGAAAAATGGAAAGCAGTCGCTGTACAAGACTAGGGACGTCAACAACTGCTACTTGAAAGAGGACACGACCAAATGTGAGTGACGACTGTATGTTCGAACAATAATTAATAAATCTAAACTTATAATGCAGGTCAGGTTACCTATTAAGTGYCCCTGTGGTGGCTAAACAATTTGTTTAAACGCTGGTTATTTTCGATGTCTACTAAKCAGTTGTAAAAAAATCTCAGTTTAATTACATATACCTATGAGCTTGATATT